GGGGGGGAGTGCTTGGGGTCCGGGCAAAAGGCCAAACTCGGACCCCTCTCCCCGGACAGAGGGAGTACCCCTGGTTCGGGAGGAATTACCGAGCTCAGAGCCCTCTCCCCGGACAGCACGCCAAATACGCATAACCTTTACTCTGTTTATTATATGCAAGTGCGAACTCGTGTAGCCAGGCTTTGAAAATTAGTGAGGTTGGGGTAATTGAGATAATAGAGATAATTGTGCTATAATAATAGAGATAATTGTGCTATAATAATCTCTACAATTACAACTAAATATATACACTATAAACACTTATATGAAAGATGTTTTCTCTTTTGGAGGGATGATTTAAAATCATACCCTATTTATTGCATCAAAATCTGTTAAAACTTTACTATAGTTAGGGGTGGATAATTTTATCAGCTGTTTATTATTCATGCAACAATACATATTACTGTTACAGTTTTTATTAATAACCATTGCTATATAGATGATAAGTTTGTCTAGTGCTCTTATGAATGTTTTTAGCATGACTTGTGAAAATTTAACTACTGAATTTAACTAATTGATTTTAATTTGATATCTAATTTTAACATCTCATTTAAATTAACTAATTTAACTACTGAATGACATAGCATAGACTTATAGTGTTTGCGTATTTCATTTCATTCTGGAACCTACTTGTTCTACAGATCTGTGTACTAGTGTCAAATGCTACTATTTTGACAGCGTTGATAACGTTTCTGACCGAATGTGCTATCCTGTCAGCAATAACCTGTCCATGGGCTTTTTTGATTACTGTCAGTTTAAGTGCCGGCGACGCAGTGTTGCCAGATATTGCTATTAAAACAAACAAAAACCGAAAAATAAATACAAATAAACCGAAATTATTTCAAATCTTTTCCAAATAAAATAATATAAAGATATCGCTGACCATAAACTTCAACATCCTAGTCACCTTTATTTATATAGCGCTTTTAACAATACAGATTGTGTCAAAGCAACTGAACAACATTAATTAGGTAAATAGTAGGGCTTTATAAGTAATAAGTAAGATTTTAAAATCTATAAGATTTTATCTATACATCCTACTTTATTAACTTTCTTTATTAACTTTCTAAAGTGTCAAATTAAGTGGAAAAGACAAGTCCAAAAAGTTTTATAATAGCTGGATCTGGCAACACGGAGGCTGCGCCCGCACCCTCACTCACAACTTCAAGAAGCCTTGTTCACTCCGGCAGCGTCTCGTAGCAATCATTTTCATACCACGGACGCTAAACATTCTTGCAAACTAAACTGAATTATACATGTCATGCAGACATTCATATGAAGAGTTTAACAGCAAATTAGTCATTCAGAGAACAAATTTTATTTTTGAACATGAGACATTTACCGAGGTCCAGACCTCTGTGACCTCATAGCTGGCTACGGGCCTGGACACAAGCATAGCTACGGAAAGCAAAGGTAGCCTAAAAATAAAATCTTCCGAATTTTAAAAATGTTTTGAGGATTATTGTTTGATTGATTAATGGATCATTTTTCCACTTGGGCGGTGGAGTGGGGTATGAGTGGTTATGAACGAATGAATGAAACGCATTTGTGCGCGTTTCACTCAGTCTCGAATCACGCTCACGGAAAGTGCTTGAGAAACAGTGTCTCTTCCGCGGCTCGGTACGCTTTTCAACTCGTTTTTTTAGTCTCGAGCAAGACCGTACGACATTCACATTACGTGATTTGACAGATTTTTACGTAGAAAGAGCGACAACGCACCGCATTAAAAGAAATGATCATTCATGTTTTCATAACCGCTGGCCAAATTCAAAAACGAAACGAGGAAACGAGCAAGGTAGCCCTACGCAGCTTGCGTATTTTCAAATGGCCAGAGTTTTGAGAAAGCAGCGGACGTGGAGGACTATAATGTAACAAGAGCTCGTTCAAATACTGAGGATGAAAGTAACTCAAAAGTAACTCAAAAGTAGTGTAATGCATTACAATTCAGAGACAGTAATATTGTAATGTAACTAATTACTTTCAAAAGACAGTAACTAGTAATATATAATGTATTACATTTTGGAAGTAACTTGCCCAACACTGAATATCGCGCATATGTAAGTGCCAACTGTGGTGAAGATCTAAGCAAATCAATTATTCCAAACCATTTTAGAATTGTTAAAGAAATACAAATCATGATGCTTCAGAGCATTTTTTTTCTCTCTTCTCCCACCACTCATGTTAATTGTTTCTGTCATTCTGTATTGGTCACAGATCAGACCGTTCATGAAGGCACACTTAAACCGTGAGAAAGACAAAGAACTCTATAAGCTGTCTCTGTATCTGAAGGAGATTGCTAAACTTGATGACTTCTCAGGTCTCAACCACAAGCACTGGGAAAGGTAAAGTGAATAAGATACTATATTCACTTTAATATGAGGAGAGATGAAGAGGGATATAGAGTGCTGATTATAAAGCTACTTGAAATACAAAAATTAATAACTGAATAATAATAATATAAAAATTATTTTACTTTAGCTAGATGTCAAGGCAATTTTTTTATTTTAGTTTAGTTTAAGATGAAGTACTAAAATAACTAAAATTAAGTGCACTAAAACTAAAACAGCTGTGTCTTGACATTGTTCTGACCTGGTTTGAAGCAATTTGGGTAAATGTAAGAGGACGATTTTAAAAGCAGTTGTAAGTACACAATTCCTGCTGCCAGTTGGTGGCACTATGGCTGTGACTCACTTCCTGCTTTTTCCCAGCCCTAATGGCCGACAATTCCAACGTGTGTGCAAAGTTTCAAGAGTTTTTTGAGCATGTTAAAGACCTTCGAAACCTTGAAATAAAAAAAAATCCTTAGGAGAACTGTAGGGCCAATATAGCAACAAAAATTATAATGGGATATCAGTGATACTAAAACAACGCAGGTATGAACTGTGTGCAGCTATGAATGAATTAACACTTAACACTTTTTGTCTCTTCAATGCCATCGTCTCTCACAATAACTTGTCTTTTGAAAAAGTCTCCCAAATTAAGATATGTGACTAATTGTGGTTAATTCTAATTTATTAAGCATATGGTGTAAGTAATTCAATACAAGTGTGTAATAAATTATTTTTACAACCCTAATAATTCTGTCTCTTTGTCCAATAGGTACCTTTCAAAGAAGCAGAATCAATAACATCTTCAGCACTGAGGAGAATCTGCTGTCTAGAAAGATTTGGTGCTGGAAACTCCATCCTTACGAAACAACTGCTGGTCCAAAGATCAGCTTCTCTGTATCTTGCGTTGTTCATCTTGCATCTCTTTATAGTGGTCATTACTGCAGGACAAATGTGATTCTAGCACTTGTATTTCTCAGAACACTGTTTACCTCAACAGGCCAATGAATGCATTCAACAAAATAATAGCATTGACTACATTTAAAACAAGCATGATGCTTCTCTTACATCACTTCCTGCCTGACACATTCTTCTTATAATTAATGTCAACTTTTATTAGGTGGTAACTTGAAAATTATTGTTAACGTCTGATTGAAAGAGCATATAATGCATATGTAATTGTTTTTTGTAAAATCTTAGTTCATGCTTAGCTTTGTGTGAGTGTGTGAGTGAGATCTCGTAGAACTTGAATGCTTACAGGAAGGTGTAATAGATCCGTGTCTTCAGTATGACCAGTATAACTGATCATGTCTTGAAAGAAGCAATAATTCTGGACAACATGATTCTGTCTGAATGGCTCTAAATTCCAAAAAAAGTTTTTATTTCAGACAACAAAAAAGAGGTTAAAATAGATGAACATGCATTTGCATCTTTATCAGCAGATTAAAACAGTTCTCCAAATGAACGATAATGTTTTTTTGTTTTTTTTGTTCTCTAGAGCGGTCACATTATTCTAAGGAGATAAAGAAGTCATATCAAAATAGCCTGGCAGGTTATGATTATTATTATTATTTATTGATTTATTATTTATCTATCAGGTCATAGAATCAAGCTTGTTAATATTTCTCCCCCTTCAGTTTTTGACAGTATGTGTTGACATCAAAGACAGTAGATATTACTTGCGTACAGTGGGGAAAATATTTATTTGATCCATTGCTGATTTTGTAAGTTTGCCCACTTACAAAAAAAATGAAGGGTCTTTAATGTTTATGGTAGGTTTATTTTAACGTATAGAGACAGAATACCAAGCAAAAAATTCCAGAAAAAACATTATATAAAGGTTAGAAATGTATTTGCATTTCAGTGAGTGAAATATGTATTTGATCCCCAAGCAAAACATGTGGTATGTTTTGGGTCATTGTAATCCTTGAAGACTTATCCATGACCCATCTTCAGTGTTCTGGCTGAGGGAAGGTTTTACAGTACATGGCCCCGTCCATTTGCCCCTCAATGCGGTGTCGTTCTGTACCCTTAGCAGAAAAACAGCCCCAAAGCATAATGTTTCCACCTCTGTGCTTGACTGTAGGATAGTGTTTTTGGGGTCATAGTCAGCATTTCTCTCCCTCCAAACACGGCGAGTCGAGTTAATGCCAAGCTCTTTGGTCTTGCCCATGGTGGTGGAGAGGTTGGAATGGAAGATACAGATTGTGTGGACAGGTGTTTTTTATACACCTAAGGAGTGACATTAGGAGTAACTTCTTAAAGTGACAGGACTAATCTGTGTTCCACATGGGCACATAACCATTCTGTGGGAGTCAGGGCCCGTATTTATCAAGCTTCTCAAAGTGCCATTTTAGTCTTAAGTGCTGAGAATTCATTACATTTACTCCTACTTTCAAACTTAAGTATAAAAGCAGGTTATTAAATTTCTTAAAGCTAAGAAACACTCTTACTGTCCCAGTTATTTAAGTCAGCTCGAGAGGTCTCTCAAGTGGTTAGGAATTGCCAGTAGGGGCTTGTGATGGCGCTGAGGAGACAGAGACGTGAGCGAATCTTTCAGGAGAGGAAGAATGTTCTTGAAATGTTTAATGACGAGCAGTTAATCAAACAGTTACATTTCCTCAGTTACTCAAACAGAAATGAGCAAAGAATATTTACATTACCAAAGAACATCATAACTGACTTCAGTCTAGCGCGAGTATTTATATGCTCTTTAAAAACACTCCCGTTATAATCAGTGAAGCTACTTACACTGTATCATTAATAAATCTCTTACCCCTTATTTACACTGCACACGTCTGCGGCGAGTTACAGCTCCGACACGTCCACCGGAGCTGATGACGGCTACTGAGCAGCCGCGCCGCAGCAAGTTTCTGAAGCGGCTCTCCGCGCTGCATCACTAAAGATAGGCGCCTAATATTTTTGACGGATAATAATAATGATAATAATCGTCTTGCTGTCGTCAAAGAAATCAGCAACAGGCGATATCTGACTATCATCGATACACGATACTATCGTCTACCGGCACAACCCTAAATTGAAGGTTGTGATGACGATTCGTTTCCTTACCATAATGTATTCTCTTGAAAATTCTTTATTGTCAAATGTGTGTTGAATGAAAACTCTTATTAGGAATTTAACCATTCAATGTGAATTTATCTGAAAATATTCTTAAATAAGGAAATCTATTCAGTGATTGGTCCATGCATATTTCGTCATCCAAAATCCCGTTTGTGGCACAGCAAAGTGTCGTGAATCAACTCCAAGACTAACACTTAAGCTTTAGTCCTACACTTCGCTTAAATTATGACTGAGATGCTTGATAACTAACTTTTAAGCGCAGCTTTGAACCAAGAAGTTTTTACACTTAAGTCAATTCTTAGCAGCATTCTTTGAGAGTAATTCTCAGAGGCTTGATAAATACGGGCCCAGAATTCTTGCTGGTTGTTAGGGGATCAAATACTTATTTCTCTCACTGAAATGCAAATCAATCTCTAACCTTTATATAATGTGTTTTTTCTGGATTTTTTGGTCTGTATTCTATCTCTATCCATTAAAATAACCCTACCATAAAAATTACAGACCCTTCATTTCTTTGTAAGTGGGCAAACTTACAAAATCAGCAGGGGATCAAATAAATATTTTCCCCACTGTAAACAGTATTGCATTTTGTCTAACTGCATTTCAGCCGGTATTTAAATGTGGGCATCGGATTTATGGATGTAATCTACTTGTAATTTAAACAAAATGGTTTTGACATTGATCCTTACATATATTAACATTAAATACTTCTTTTAAATGAAAGGTTAATGCTTAGTGTTTGAAACGCTGTATTACTAGCACTTATAGTGTTCATTGCCTCTTCATAATTAATCACTTCTTGTATTCCTCATTCACTTAGAATAAAAGCATCTCTAAAATGAATAAATGTAAACTTCGTTCAAGATTTTATATACTTTTTTTCCCTTAAAAATGGGTAAGGATAAAATCCCTTAAAGGCCTAAATTTTAAGATGCTTACATATTGCAAGTCAAAATATGGACTAGGTCTATATACATACTATATAAAAGATAATGTGGTGACACATATAAGGTTCCAATTGTAAACGTAAGTTAACATGACCTAACAATGAAAATACTTCCTAAGCATTTATTACAGATTTTCTTTGGTGCATTTCTTGAATCAGTTCGCACAAACACCACCACAAAATGGATTGCCTGAAAAACCTGTAACTTTCTCAAAATCAAGATTATCTATTAAAAGTAACTATTCATATCAATGGACATAGAGCTATCAGAATGACAAGTCCTTGTTATATTGTTCACGAACAAGATCAAAACTACTTAGCCATGTTTGTCAATATAACAGTCACTGTCAGTATTTCCTGATGTAAATTAAACTATGATTGTGATAAAAAATGCTGCACTTTTCTGTATGGCATATACCATTTCCAAAAGTACAAATTTACTTATTACTGTATGAGGAATATTGATTGCAAAATACTAGACAGGATGATTTTACAGGTGGTCCGATAACAAAATTACAGTACAATGTCAGGTCAAGTCACCTTTATATAGCGCTTTATACAACACAAATTGTGTCAAAGCAGCTTTACAGTGTTAAACAGGAAAATGGTGTGTCAGTAATGCAAGAGGATAATAACAGTCAGTTTTTCAGTTAAAGTCAGTTCATTGCTGATTCAGTAGTGTCATCATTCAGGGGTGCGTTTCCCAAAAGCATCGTTAGCTAACTATGGTCTATGAACTCTATTGGTGACGACGGAACTTGTGACCATAGTTGCTTTTGGGAAATGCACCCCAGCTCAGTTCAGTTCAGTTCTCTTGAAATAGTGTCTGTGCAAAGTCAGCAATGTTGCCAGAAATTAAGTGTCCCCAACTAAGCAAGCCAAAGGCGCTAGTGGCAAGGAACCAAAACTCCATCGGTGACATATGGACAAAAAGTCGGGAGGCTCCTCTAGCTAGATGGAACCATCATGGTGTGATTTAAAGTCCCAATGAAATCCAAAGTTTTTTGGCTTTTAGTATGAATATGTTAGCCTTAAGGTTATCTATAGGTGCATCTCAAAAAATTAGACTATCGTGAAAAAGGTTTTTTTTTTTCTAACATTTCAAAAAGTGAAACTTTCATATATTCTAGATTCATTACATGTAAAGTAAAATATTTCAAAAGTTTTTTTACAGCTCATGAAAGTCAAAAATCCAGTATCTCGAAATAATATTTACATTTGAGCTTCATTAAAGTCCCCCTGTAGAGAAAATCAAGTTTTTTTATGTTGTTTATTTGTCTACGTAGTCTTTATAATTTGCTTTTAGACAAACCATGTGCCAATCCATTAATCAACACCATTGCTGAGTGTTTTCTCCTTAAAACTGTAGTATCCTGAAGGCAGGCCCAGAAACGCGGTTTGAAACCGTCCTCGGTTTGCTAAGTCACAAAATTCAATAACCAATCACGTCAAGGGATAGATTCCTAGCATATCCCTCTCTCCATTTATACAAACGCGGCGCGCATAGAGATCATAGCATAGAGACCGCATGAAAAATATTCCAATAGGATTACCAGCACAAAACCAAAAGTAAAATAGAGCAAAAAACCCATAAAGCCATGGTTTAACGTGAATTTAGAACCGCTAACTTGAATAATAACCCGTGGCAACAGTGTAAAAGTAGCCCGGAGTCAGACCCACCTCTCCTGCATTGGTGGCCGCACTTCACTCGCATATGCTTGCGGTCACGAATTAAGAATCACAAACTTGGCTGAGTCTTCAAGGCATTTTGAGGACATATCATCAACAAGTAAATAACTTTAACGACTGTTACCGTATCCACTGTAGTTGTCTGCTAGTAAAAAACAGTTTTATCAGTCATAATCCATGGCTCAGGAGGCCCTGGCTGGTGTGACTGGGTGGAGGCGGGGCTAATTTGCATATTCATAGATCCGCGTATAGTAAATGAGGCAAGGATGTAGAGTTACATTCAAGCTAATTTAAGGCATGAGAAAATTTGCACAAGAAAAAAACATTTAAATATGTAATTTTGATGATCAAAGAGAAGTTTTAAGAGATAACATGTCTGACTTCAGGGGCACTTTAAATGACCATCACTACAGTATAAATTCCGGGTATCTCTTGTTCTTTGAAACCACAATTATGGGGAAGACTGCTAACTTGGTCCAGAAGACAATTATTGACACCCTACACAAAGAGGATACATCACAGAAGGTCATTACTGAAAGGGGTGGCTGTTGTTTACAGAGTGCTGTATCAAAGCATATTAAATGCAAAGTTGACTGGAAGGAAGAAATTGGGTAGGAAAAGGTGCACAAGCAACAGGGATGATCGCAAGCAATACTGGCAAGCAAAGGCAATTCAAACACTTGGGAGAGCTTCACAAGGAGTGGACTGAAGCTGAAGTCCGTGCATCAAGTGTCACTATGCTCAGATGTCTTCATGAAAAGGGTTACGCCTAACAGCAGACATACATCGGGCTGATGTCGACTCGACATACAAAGTTCCATCGGTACGATGTAGCTCAGGGAGCGTTTGCACCCAGATTTGAAGACTACAGTAAGATTTAACTTCTACTGTTAATAAGATTTTGGTAGGCTACTATTAGATGGATAGCCTAAATGTCCTAATTCAGATGGGCTACCTGTTTTTTTTTTTTTTAATGGTATATCAAA